AGCACTTGGCAGCCCACCTGCACTTACGACCACAGGGGCGCTTCAACTTCCCCACCCATCTATCTCCCCACCATGTATGCCTTTTTGCCCCCTGTGGCAAAAAAATGGTCTTTTGCTTCATGCTGCAGGGGGAAAAAAGCCCAGCCCTGCCCAGGAGCTTTTGCAAGGGGGCATTTTAGTGCACTGTGGTTCTGGGGCTGCTTGCCACCCTGAAAGGCAAGGTGCAGGGCAGCCAGAAGGGCAGTGATGGGGGGAGATAGGCGGGTGGGGGGAGTTGGAGGCAGTCCCTTACCTTACTGAGGCTCAGGGCTGGGAGGAACCAAGCCCAGAATGGCTTGGATTGGGGTGGGTACTTGCTTAATGACCCACGATTCTCAGTTAACGATGGCAACCAGGACTACCAGGATTGCAGTCGCTAAGAGATGCAGTCATGTGACCTCTCATTTTATGACCGCATCGCTTAGCAACGGAAATTCTGGTCCCAATTGTCTGCAGTTGAGGACTACCTGCATTGCAACCTTTTCTCAAGAGTAGCTGAAACCTGAACAGTAAAGCAAATCTAATTTCTGATGGCCACTTAATTCATTGTCTTCTTTCAACTCTCAACCAAATTAAATACTGAACAATCAATCATTCAATATTATTTATTGCCATTGGATAGTACTGAACTGTCAAAAAAGTCTCCCCAGTTAAAAAAGATGGTTAAAGGAAAAGTAACTGCCTGGGGCAGCACCAATGTAAGGATCCAAACAGCGCTAATGCCTGTATGACGAACAACTCAGAAATCACACATTGGACAAGCAGATGCACCAATGATGCCACCCCTCTGGAGCAGCCCCCATTCATTCCACAGAGCTTGTAAAGACGGTGTCCCCGTGTTCCACAGCGTTTCCACAAGAGGTTCACCAGGCCTCATCCTGCCTCACAATGGAACTGCCTTGAGAGAATTAATTCAGGAGAAAAAGGAAGCTGGTGTGATTCAAGCCAAGGAGCCAAAACTAAGCGAAAGGAGACAAGCACCTCCGTCCCTTTAGATAAATAAAGTTTTGGGGCCAAGGAAATGTCCTCCTGACCTGGTCCAAGAAAACTCATCGGTTGAACTTAAAGATGAATGAAGGTCTATCCATCTGACCAAATCTAAAGGTCTTCTCTCTTCATCCCTGGCTAAGGTTCTCTACTTCCTTCCCCTTTTCATACAGCGCTTCTGGGATGAGGGGCTTCTTCCAGCTCATAAAACATACTGTATGCAGATAGTTTTGTATGATCAACTGATGATCAAAGGATCATGCTGCTGAACAGTCACTAAGCCCAGCTCAGAAAACAGCTGGTGCATCAGGTCAGATTTATAGAGTCCAGAGAAGCTTAAGCTAGCTGTCTCCCCCACCTGTTCACTTCTGCCCATTCTAAGTCTCCTGCCACCTCCCCTTGATGGAGAGGCCACAGAGCAATTCAGGGGGCCCCATAAGACTTCCCAAAACAGAGGTATGACAGTCCTAAACAAGTTGAGAACTAGATTGGGGGGGGGGAACCGTGCTAGAAGTTGAAAGGAAATACTGACTTTTCTGCAGTCCCTGTTCTTAAACTGGAACATTACCCAAAGGCAACCAAGTCCTACCCCAACACAATGAAGAACAGATGAGATGCTGTCTGGGTTCATACAACACACTAAACCCAGAAAAACAAAACACAATTGCTGTGTTGATCTATTGTGCAATGTTCAAACAGACTATTCTGGCATAACGTGATGGCTAAAATAATAGGTGGCTTTGTCCTGAATTACAAGCTACCCAATTCCGTTTTAGCTTAGTCTAGTGTGTTGTGAGAAGCTAGCCAGAGAGTATTTTTAAATAGAAGAGCAGGATAAAAACAGTTTAAATAACTTTTTAAAGAGAGAGCTGCATAGAATCATCTAAGCCAGACTGGTCTCTCCAAGAGTCCACAACCCAAGAACCATGAAATGAGCACCTTCATGGTGCTGTGCTTCTGAATTTGATGGAAGATCTTTTGGGGTGAAGGTGGAGATACATCTCAAGAAAAAGAATCTGGAGAGTCTCAGCCAGACAGTTCCAACCCTCACACAAACTGCAACCAGATTTGCAGACCTTCCAGCAGATCTTCTTGATTTCTTATGATTATTTCCTGCTGCAAGAGAGGACATTTCCCTACTGAAAGGCTTTCTTTGATAAGTTCAAAACATGAATATATTTTCCAGCTTGGTCTTTTCTGTTTCTATAGAGAACACCAGAATCCAGACCCTCTGAAAAACAGCAAGGTCCTAAGTTCTGTCACTCCTGATTTAGTGCCAGTTTTAATTACTCAGACCACCAATTAGTCAGGAACTGAGATGAGTCCTTAAACTGCTCACCATTCACTGCCGTAGTTGCCCATTAGCTCCAGTGGGGCTTGCTCCGTTTCAAAGTTTATGGCTGCCTCTTCCAATTCAACTTGAGGACAGAAATGGGAGGGTGATTAGAAGCCCAATTATGGGATGGTTGTTTCTTTTACTTCCTATTCCCCAAATAAAGGAACTGAAAAATGAAATGAAACTGAAACCCAATCTGCCCTCGATTGGGAAAAGAACCCCCTCCCCCACTCCCAGTACTGGTTTCAGCAAGTGCCATGCCAAGAGTGATCTGCCTGGGCAGTGAAACCGTTACGTTAAAGCTTCACAGTTTGCAGCCAACGACTTCAAAGACCACTTGAGCAACGCTGCTATCCTTCCAGAACTGGTGTAAACTCTGGACTGTGAAGCATCTCTTCCTTTCTAGATTAAGCTTTGGAACCAATGAAGTAATCCGAGCCACAGGTCCCAATTTGGCTCTGCAGGTTGCTGCTAACAGAATCTGCTCCTTTTACCTATCTGCTTGGTATAAACCCAGCTGGTCTGTTCATTAGAGCCCGAAGAGTCTTGGCTCTGCCAATGCCCACCTCAGATGCCAGGCTGTCCAAATGATGAAGGAGACAGTACAGAAACTCTCAAAGGCACCCACATCTTGCCAAGTCACTGCCAGCAGGAGGAATGCAAAGGAAAGGTTGGTCTAAGATCCGATGGCCTGAAAGAAGCCACTAGTTGCCAATTAAGGGGCAGCACAATACCCTGAAACCCAGAATTCCCTCTGTTAAAACCTGCCCTGCAAATAAATCTAACACTACAGCCTCTCTGGCCAGACGTGGTTCTGTGGCCTGAAAGAACATCTGCCAAGGCAAACTCTAGGGTGACCAGCAGGAAATTCTCACCTCTCTAGATCTCAACCTGTATAGAGATCGTGGTCCCATCAAGTACCGTTGCCTGGCTGGCCTCATTTGGGCTTGGAAGCAGAACAGCTGGGCTTGGGAACCCAGAGCTATGGGCGAGACTGGGAGGTCAAACCCCACCCTGGAAGAAGGCAGTGAGACGCCACTTTTGTCCCAGGAGCCACACCTGGCCCTGATGGGGCTTCACGCTGCTTGGGCCATAACATCCAGTACCTCAGTCGCTGGACTCACACACTGCATTAAGATATGGTTTGCTTAACCATGGTTTGCTTGATAAGCTACAATTGATTGGTATTATAAACCACAACTGACCAGCCACAGTGGCTTGATTAACACAACACACTCACCTAAACCAAACAAACCAGAGTTACTGGGTGCCTGCAACATGCCAACTGGTTAAAATGTGGTTGGCTGTTTGGGGCTCAGGGAATGTTACGGTTGCAGTGCTGGGCAAGGAACACGTAGACTGTAAGTTCCAGTCCTACCTTAGGCACGAAAGCCAGCTGAGTGGCACTGAGCCAGTCCCTCTCTCCCAGCCCTAGGAGGAAGGCGATGGGCAACCACTCCCAAAGTCTTGCCAAGAGAACTGCAGGGGCTTGTTTCTTCCTGCCCAGTGCTGGCGTGTGGTGACCTCCTCCAAGAGATCGAGCAAGACGCACCGATGACCCAGCTCTCCACAGCAAAGGCTCCCTGCAGACAGCACCTGGGAAGCGTCCTCGCCAGAGGAACCAGCAGGGCAAGCAGAGCAGCAGCCTGTGCTGCGGGTGTCAGTGTAAACAGGCGAATACGCTCCCCCCGCCCAACCCCTGGAGGCGAGAAGTCAGGCGGCCAGACCCGGGAGACGGAATCAGGCGGAGGAGCAGAGCAGAGGGTCGCTTGTTGAGCTGCTGCAGGGAGAGGCGACTGAAAGGAGCCAGGCCTGTGGAGGACAGAAACTGACGGCGCCGAGGCAGAGAAATGGCCCCGGGGGCACCGATGGAAAGCCAAGGGCCCCGAAGGCAAACAGCAGAGCAACACACTTGGGCAACGGGTGCTGCCACAGTGGAGTGCTGAGGGGGCTGCGCACGTTCCACTGTTCCCCAAGTTGGGCTATTTTAATGCTTTCCCTTGCAACTGGAGAAAATCCACATTAAAAGGCTTTTTTTAAAAAGGCAAAGCAAAACGCCCAACGATTAAACTGGAGCCTCTCCAAAAACAGGAAGTGCTATTCAGGGACAGTGCCAGTGTCGCTGAGGGCTTCCTGCTTCTGCTGCCAGATCTCAAGAGACAGGCAGCGGCACGCTGGCACACCTCTGCCTGCTCCTTGCCCATGGCTGCCCATCCCCGCCCCCGGGCTCTGCTTTGCGGGGGTCCCTGTGCAAGCCAGCCCCAGCCATCCTGCGACAGCTGGAGAAGTGGGCCAAGGAAAGAGCCCCACCAGACATAGGCAGAATCAAACGTTTCCGCTTCCTTGTAGGGCTGCCAGGGGATTAGAGGCAAGGACTCCCGCCCCCAAACTCTGCTTCTCCCTGAGAGTTGGAAGAGGGGGCCAACCCTGCCATTCTGAATCAGCTCAGGGGCCGCCCTGGGAGGGGGCCGACAACTCCCTGGAAACGCTTCTGGAGGACGTGCTCTTCAGTGGTCCCTTGGTTGGTGTGCACAACACAAGGGGGAAGTGGATTCAGCGGGATGGGTGGGAGGGGGCTGTTCAGGGGAGGGTAGGCAATGCTTTCCCTGCCACCACAGCAATTTAACAGCAAACCGGTTTTTTAAAATGTGTCTTGCCTCTCAGTTAGGAGTTTAAAAGCAGGATACGTCCCCCAAAACACCTCGAGCACTGCAGCCACCCAAGGAACGCATTGTAGTTGATAGACTGACTGCATTTATAAACTGCCCTTCTTCTGGGACTGCAATAAACTTGAAGGTCTCCCCTGACTGGATCCTCACAACAGCCCTCTGAGGAAGGAGTGCCCAAGCCGCCTACCAAACTCAGTGGCTGAACAGGGACTTGAACCTGGGTCTCCCTAGTCCTAATCCAGCCTCTGGATGACCACAGCATTTTAGCTGTCACAAACTATTCCTTGCATTTGTTTAAAAAGCCTCAACATCACACATTTGACCTGGCAACTTTCAGGAGCTTCAAGGGTGCAGTGCATGAAGCCATTAAACTCCTTCCTTGGAAGACTCTGGCAAGAGTAGAATTAACTGCTGTGTCTCACTCAGACTTTGCAGTGTCTGCTGACGCTCCAGAGGGTCAGGTGCCTTATCCACAAGCCGTAATCATGATTTGTTGTAAGTTAGGTGATTTTAAGCACCATTAAGCAGCTTCTGCTTCTTCCTCAGCCAACCCTAATTTTTATTCCAGGCGCATCTTCCTGGCCCTGTGCCATGAAAGGAGAAAATACATCTCATCTGGACAGAAGGAGAAATCGATGATGGCCTCACAGCACCATCCGATTTTATTATGGCAGTTGGCAGCAGAAGTGTGGAGTACTCCTTGCTCTTCCTCTTATCTCGAGGAAGCACGCACACACTTGCAAAGGAGAGGGTGGCCCTTGTTCCCTGTTGCACGCACACACACCCCCACAGGCAGCAAGAGCTGCAAGACACGTCAATGAACCGAGGGACGTCTCCCCCAAGACACCTCTTGCACTCCCAAGCCTGGCCTGGCAGAAGGACTGACCAAGGAAGGGCTTCCCCTCCCCACTCCTTTCCTCGCTCTCATGCGCACGCAGGCTGCGTCCATCCCTCCTGCTAAGCCAGACCAGCAGTTTAAGTTGTGTGTTCCCAACCATGCTGAACAAAGACCAAACAAGCCACTCTTTTGTTCAGTGTGATGTACGGACTCGGCTGGTTAAAGCTGCAGATGTGCACTTTTCTGAGTCTGCTGCTTAACGGCAGGGGAGCCCTTCTTGCTTTGGGGAACCCAGAAGAATTCTCAGCCATGGCAACCTTGGGGGCTCTTCAGCCTGATCAGGCTGAATGCCTGCCTGAGGAGCCACCTGCTCATATCTGCAGCACTTTCCATTCAAACTACAGAGGTGGTCTCTGTGGTGGATGGGCGCGTCAGCTTCTCAACTAGTTGATCCTGGCACAAACGAGAGAAACCTTGGAGGAGAGGACCCCTCAGCAGAATTTTTTGCTCACTGCGGGGCAGGTACAGGACCCTGTTCCAACAGCAGATAGCAAGGCGTGCAGGGCCCGGGCACTCAAAGCAGTTCCAAGCCCAGCACCGTCCTAGCCTGCACCTCAGGTCGCCTCCAGCTAGACCACTCTTAACCCCACTATCGGAAGACGCTGCGCTCTTCCTCCTATGCCCATACTGTGTCTCCATGTGTGGTAAGAAAAGGGGGGAGGAGGGTTCTCAATGGGAGCAAGGGGCACTTCATCCCTTTCCATGGACAACGCAAGGCAACTGCGGCCACTCCCTGAAAACCATAAGCACCACCTGTTCCCAAACTATTCTCCTAAGCGTTCCTGCCTGGATTTCAAACGCGTGCCTTCGGGAAGAAACGGAGCTGCTCTGTTTTGGCTTGTTATGCGGCATAGAGGTACCCGGGAAGCACGTGGACCAGCCCCACCTCTGCCCTCTGCCTCACAGCACTCCCAGCAACGCAGCCCATCTCCAGAAACAAACAAAAAGACTCTTCGCTCTCACCTAGAATGGGATGCCGTATTGAGAACATGTTCTCACCCACTTGCTCAAACTATAAAAATTTACTCCACGCTGGATGCAGAAAGGAAGCGCCATGTGCCCTTGCCTCTTACCTGCACAGCCCCGCTCCTAAGCCCCCTCTGCTAAAGCAGGCCAACCTTCCTTTCATTTTTGCAAAACCCGGGCAAAAGGGTGCCTCTGACTTACCCACACAGTCACAAATTGGGAACTCAGCTTGAGCTCGCTTGGCAGGCGTGTCCAGCAAACTTTTGGTTGGGGTGTCCAAGTATTTCAAGGGAGACTCCAAAAATCCACTGAGAGTTGGCATGAACGGCTCTTTATCCTTGGTTGGAGTTCCTTCCAGGGCAGCCGTGTCTGGGTTTTGGTTTTCGTCAGAGTAAAAGCACGTGGTGGAGACCACTGTAATAGCACCAGATGATTCTATTTTTATGTGTTTGGGGGACCGAGCTGCCAAGGGGTTTTCCAAAGGCTGACTGGCCCCTGGTAAGAGGGAGGTTTTGAGACCCGCATCGGGAGTGCCTGCCAAAGGCTCTGCACAGTCCTGGGCTGGAGGCTGGAGAGGGGCATCCAAACCCTCTGGCGGCTCTGGAGACTGGCTCAGAGAAGAGAGCGGGAGCAGGGGGGAAGGGGGCTGGGCTGGCAGAGACCCCTTACTGAGGAGCAGCGCGGTTGGAAGTTCTGGATTCTGAAAGGTGAAGTTTTCACCAAACTCAGTCTCAAATTCTTTGATGAACTCCTCCAGCTTGTCATCCACGGCGGTGGGATTCTGGGTGAAGAATGGGTGGGCCGCTGAGCTGGCTGTCCCGTGGAAGGCTTCCTCGTGCCCATTGCTGCAAGCCACAGCAGAGGAGCACGGAGCAAAGCCCAGCACAGGGCTGCTGCTGAGGGGTGCGGCTTCGCAGGCAGAATTCTCTGGGAAGTAGCAACGGGTCTCCTCCTGGCCAGGATGGCAGGTTTCCTGAGTGTTGGAAGCCGGGCTTCGGTTTTCAAGTAGCTTCTGCAATGGAGACTGCTCCGCGAGGCTGGCAGCCAGCGAAGTGGGAGGCAAAAGCTTGGTAGGAGTGCAGGAGAGGAGCTGTTCAGGTGGAACCTCTTTGCTCGGGCACGCCAGCGCAGCAGCCGCACGGCACCCTTCCAAGCTGATCTGCCTGACGGGCAAGAATAGGGGCTGAGAATCCTTCTGCTTGGACTTCTTGATCTGGATTTGCTTGCGGAACGATTTCATGGGGCCGCTCTTCTCAGGCTTCTTCCTCCGCTCCTTGACTGGCTTCTCCAGCCGCTTCGGAGGCAGCTGGGCCTGCGACCCGGGGGCCCACCAGCTGGGCAGCGGCTCCTGCGTCCCTCCGTGAGGTACGTTCTGGTCGAGGAAAAGGCTGCGCTTGTGGTGAAGGTGGTGCTGTAGGGCCTTCTGGGTCTTCCTGTGGAAACTGGTCTCCTGCAGGAGCTGGGACAGCTGCGGGCTGGAAGAGGGGGATTTGTGGCAGCTGGCATGGCCATTTTCATCCTTGTGGATGACGTGCTCCTGCCTTGGTTTGACTGCTCTTGCTTTGCCCGGAATCACCCCCGGCTGCTTGAACACGGACCTGATGCAGCCATTGGAACTGCCCAGCAGCTGCTCCAGCTCAGCCATGGTGTCGCTGACCAAGGAGGAAGGTGAAGTGCTGGCGTGCAGGTCCCACAGTCTAGCTTTTGGCTTAGCTTCGTCCCTCCGTTGCTCGGGGAAACCTGCCTTCTGGGGGGTAGAACTGCAGGTGGGAAACAGGCCGGCAGATTCTAGATGGCCATTGCTGTGGTCAAGGCAATAGGGGGCTTCGTCCTGAGCACGTTTCACTCCCTGCGGCCAGGAGGAGGATGCTGACACTGCCGGAGCTGGGAGCAAGTGGTGGTTCACGTCGGATTTGGAGGTGTGGCTCTGGCACAACCCAGCACTAGACACAGGTAGCACCATGCTGGGGTTGCGCGCTGAGAGGAGGGGAGGCTGCTCCTTGGAGCCAAAGGCCGTGGCTTGCAGGGGGCTCCCAGGAGGGGGCAGAGCCTGGGTGGCCGGCTCTGGAAGGACCGTGGAGAGCTGTGTGAGGGCTTCAATTGCAATGGCTGTCTGGAGACTAATGTTCTTCTCCTTTGCAATGTTCAGTGCACTTTGGGAAAGGGGGAGGGCTTCCAGGGGGCATAGAGTCACCTGCTCGCCTGCAGCCAGGCCCTGCTTGGCATTAGCACCACTGTCTAAGGGGGGCTGGTGAACTTGGCTGAGGGGCTGGGCAGTGCAGCTCTCCTCTTCTCCAGTGGCTGATTGGATCTTCTTCTCCAGCCATTCCAAGTAGTCTGGGCACTCGGGGCCATCACAGTTGCAGTTGGGCGGTTTCATGCCTTGCTTGGCCAAAATAAGCGCAGCCTTGAGGGCGTTCAGATCCTCAATGCCAGGGCAGCTGTTGGGAGGAGGCACTGCCACACCCTCCTCCATCTCCCCACGATTCATCTCAGCATTAAATTTTTCATACAGCCGCATGCTTAACACGGAAGGGGATGTGAGAGGTGCCAAGCCATGGGAAGACATGGCGGCTTCTGCTGCTGCAGAGAAAGCCACTAAGTTTTGAGCATCCTCCAGATTGGCATTGCTGGAAGAGTCTCCCTGACCCTCCCAGGTGACCTTCCGCTCGGCGCGCGGGCTGCCAAGCCACATGCTGGTATCCATTAGCATGGCCCCTCCACCAGCAACTGCCTTCCCTCCGCCATTTGCCAGGCCAGGTGGGAGGACCTCTCTTAGCCTTCCTTCTTCAACATGGCTGAATGGCGCTTCTTCCATGTGGCCTGTTTGGGGTCCATCAACCGAACTGCTGTCCAAACCAGTCTGGAAAGGAAAATGGAGAAAATTAGTTCAAAAATGGGCTTTTCCTTTTAGTCTATTCTAAAAAAAACCAATAGCAGCATCTTGAAAATGAACATATACATTTCTGTGAATTAAGAATCAGTTCATTCCAGTAACCTGGTTCCTGAGCCTGTGGCCCACAAATGTGTTGGAGGTGCCAATTTTTTTCAAGACAGTCAAAATTTCATGAAATCACCACGTCTTCCAAGATACAAGTTTTCTTACTTGAAATCTATGAGATTTTGGCAAGATCTCAGGAGAAACATCATAATCAAAATACAGGGTGATTTCACAAGATTTCAGCCATGCAAGGAAAAATTAAAGTATTTCTTGTTTAATTCTGGAATTCTACCGATGTCACCTGAGGGAGCCACATGTGATATAGTGCCCACAGGCACCACTTGCCAAACAGTGGTTCATAGCGACCACCATCAAACTTTCACTGACAACACTGCAGTTTGCCAAAAGGAAAAGGCCAGGAGCTGCTGCTGATAGGTCCTGGGCTGCAAATCAGGGCGCTCTCAGGAAGGGCCGCTGTGCTTAGAGGAGGAGGCACTGCAGGACGGAACAGCACTCCTGTCAAAAATAGGAAAAGAGCTGAAACTGTAGTAAGCAAATGCCAAACTTCCATTGTCCACTTTCAGACAACGTAGTAGGAGCTCTGCCTCAACCCTCCCCCAATTTTCTTTCCAAGATTGTCTTTGAGCTCTTCCTGCCTATGCATCTGAGCACTGGAAAATCTTATCAGCATATCACAAAAGCTGACAACAGGATGTAGCTATCAGTAGAAGCCAGCAGCCCAGTTTCACAATAGTCATTGTAGAGTTTATCTCCTGCCCTTTACTTTAAAACACTTACAATCAGAATCTGAAAACAAATATAGAAGATGAAGCTATAATGAGAGCGAACAAAGAGAGATTTAGGATCCTGTTAGGAGACTTCCCTATTTTTCCAGTCCTGTATATATGCCATATCATTATTTTCCTATGTTTCTTTTACCACATTGGAAATAAGACATGGACGCAGTAGTTAATATTCCTAAAATGTTCCAGCAAAGAGTGTTTTAGAACAACAACAGAAACAAAGCAGAAACAGGTGTGATCTAAATTAATAGGCCCATTCGGAAGAGCTTCTTGTCCTCCTGATCATTCCTAAGAGCCTGAGCCAAATTGCATTATTTCCAGACCTTGCATTGGCCTTCCTTGTTCTACCCATATTTCTGACCAGACAAATGCTTGTGCTTCTCTAACAGGAGAGGCTCTCAGCCACAGCAATGCGATCAAGGGAGGATGCGATTCTCATGCAACTTCTCTCTGTCAGTATGGAACCCATTTCAGGTTGATCCCTACAGCATGCAGTTGTCTTGCCTCTTGCATGAGACTGACAGTGTTTTAGGACATTCAAGGCACTTTGAATGCTGTGTTCCCAGTCACTTGTATTATTCTAAACAAAAGGTTGAGGTTTGTTCCTCATTGGCAAGTTCAGGGCGTGGGGAGATTTAACCCAGAAACTGTGGTGCTCCCGGAAGGACCAAGGTTGCCCCTGAAGCAGAACGAGGGAGAACGATTTAGAGAAGGGTAATGAATGGCTAAGAGCATGAAACTGAGCAAGCTCAGGGAGACAGTGAAGGACAGGAAGGCCTGGCGCGATGCGGTTCATGAGGTCATGAAGAGTCGGACACGACTTAACGACTGAACAACAACAACAGCAACAAATGGCTATTTTACTTGATTATTACATTTTTACCTCTGTCCCTTGGCACGTTTCTCAAGTTCTAATCTCAGGCTCTCCCACAGGTGTCTTTGGGTGTATCTAGGCACGGAGGCTCCTAGTGCTACCAAGCAAAGGGGATCCCCCATCATATAAGTTTTGTAGGAAACCAAAGACAGAACAAAAGAATGAAAGATGGGAGGTTCCAAGTAGAAAATGAGATCTGAACAGCCGCTCCATAAAAGCCAAGAAACAAGGCAAGACATTCTATGATTAAAAAAAAAAAAAAACTTCTATGGAAACACCCGTAATTTATGCAAAAGAATGAAAGATGGGAGGTTCCAAGTAGAAAATGAGATCTGAACAGCCGCTCCATAAAAGCCAAGAAACAAGGCAAGACATTCTATGATTAAAAAAAAAAAAACTTCTATGGAAACACCCGTAATTTATGGAAATACTTGGGAACACCAGGTTGAGTTTTCAAGACAAGCCTGGTAACGTGCCCAGATTTCTGTGAATGGCCTGTTGCTACACAGACAGGCCTACCTGAGCAGGAATGCTAAGCATCTCTGGGGAGAAAAAGCAGGTGGCTGCCACACCCTTGGCCCACTTGGATGACAGACACAGAGTTGCCAGACCTGCTGCTAACAGGCTGCACATCACTTGCCAGGTGCACATCTGGAATGAGGGCATGTGCCCAAGGATCTGTGGGTTGGTAGCCACTTTACAAGACAGCAAGAGACCTCCTCCCATGAAGTGCCTGTTGGGAACTGCCCCACCTGACTGCACAAATCATTCTAAGAATTGCTCTCTCTGCAAGAAACAAACAAACAAACAAACAAACAGGGTTTGCTAGTGGCTTTCTCAGACAAAGAACTTCTGAGGTACACCAGACAATTTCTGCAACCTCAAAGAACGCGGGCAGCGGGACATGGAGAAAAAGAGGGGGAGCTCAAAGAAAAATGGTGGGAAGCTTGTAGGGCGAGATCAGGACCGCTGCAGAACAGAATCTGTTCCCAACCAACTATAATCTGGAAAAGGATGCAGACATTTGCAGCATCCCTTCCTTTTGCAGGATCTCCTCAGATCTCTCCAGGTCTGCATTAAGTCCCCACACAGGAGTGCAAAGCAGCCGCTGCCCTTATCGCTCTAGAGGGTCAATGCATCTCTTCTGTGAATTGCTTAACACAACACACGGCAACAGACATTCTAAACAAATGTCCAAATTCAGGATAAACTAATCAATACTTGGGATATTTAATTTATTTATTTATTTGGCTGACACACATTTATGTACAGTCTTTTACATGTCTCAGGAACAGCAACAGTGGTCAACCTTGTTCAGGCTTGAAAGCTAAGTGGGGCTCTGGGCAATATTGAGACAGTGAGCTCCCCGAGGACTCCGGGGCTGCCAGCTAGGCCGGGGAGCAGGAGTGAAAAAGACTGGAAGAGGCCGCAGCAAACCGCTTCCCTGCTGCTGCCTAAAAACCACACAACTGGTCAACAAAGTCACCCAAAAATGAGCTTGACTTGAAGACTTCACACATTCTACCTCATTACAATTTGTCAAAGTTGTTGTTGTTCAGTCATTAAGTCGTGTCCGACTCTTCGTGACCCCATGAACCGCATCGTGCCAGGCCTTCCTGTCCTTCACTGCCTCC